AGAAGATATTTAGATAGGTTCTAGAGAATAGGCAGCGATAGTCTATACTAAAAGACTAGTTTAGTATTAGTATTTTTACTTTACTGCTGCAAAGCATAGTATTAAACTACTTTATAGAATAAAGTTTACTAATAATAAGATTTCTTTAATAGGTTAAGATAATGCAGTTATATAATATAACTATTAAACTAGTATTACAACGTATTAAGGATATATACGTATCTTATATAATAGATAGTGCCCTGCCTCTACCTTTATAATTAGAAGAGGTAACTAAGAATAAGTTAGCAATTAGAGACTCTGCAGAATTTCTTTTACCTATTAGTAATAGTTAACGATTAGTTAAGAAAGTTAGAGATAGCAACGATATTAGCATAATACAGTATAGCATAAATATATAGGTTATTAGAGATAGCGTTGTTATTTAATAATAGTTTGTATTAAAGAGAAGGGAAGATAGATAGAGTTATTCTACTTTCCTTTAATATTACTATAATAAGACCTAGAACATCTCTAATAACTCCTTATAACGTATTAGCAGTAGCTATACTCTGCTTATATGCAATTTTAGCTACTAAAAGATGTTGAAATACTTAACTCTGTTAAAATATTGCTTAACTCTGCTATAATATTACTTAACTCTGCTATAATATCGCTTAACTCTGCTATAATATCGCTTAACTCTGCTATAATATTACTTAACTCTTAAGTATGCATAGGGCTAGCTTAGCACTGTTATTAAACTTTAATATTAGAAATCCCAATATGTATAGATTATATCTACTTCGTATTTAGTAATAAGGTCTTTAGCCTTAGTAAGACTAAGAGCCTCTATATCTAGAGCTATTATTAGATTATCTAGATATATTATAGCAAAGATATTCTAGAGTTCTTAAAGACTAGTAAAGCGTATAAGTTTTTTAAGAGCAGAGAGGTTAGTAGCAAAGTTATATATCTCTTAGAATCTATATTCTATAGATAATAAGAATAAAAAGATAATAGATATAATAAGCGCTAGTTTAAAGTTAGTAGAGTAAGCTATTTATAAAGATAAGAGATAGAAAGAATTAGTAGCACTATGCTTAAGT